GGGGAATCAATACACCTTGTATACATCAATACACCTGAATGTCCGGAAAACTCGTCCGGACATTGCCCTCTGCTAACCCCGCCTTCTTCGCTGCTGTTGGAGAGGGGGGATCCCGTATTAGGCCTTCTTGACGTTTTCTTTTCGTTTTTTCTTCACTGTCGTTCCACTTCGCACCTCTAAACTCAGTTTCATGCGCCATAATACCCGAAATCGAGCCTGACTTTTGCCTTTAAATCGCCAACACAATCTGACCTGGTAGTTCCTATCATTCCCTTCTGAGGAAAAACGATGAGCTTTTGGCGTTATCTAATCCCTCCTGGGGAGCAGCACGCATCCCCTTCCATTTAGAGTCACAGTTCGCCGTTTCCAGGATCATGGCTCTTTGATTTTTGCTTATTATTTTTAGAGAGATTAGGATGTAGTCTGAAAGCGCGCAATCTGTTGTACATTTTGGTGAACAACACTTGTGTATTTGTTCCACTATGAGCTTACACGCGAGCAAAAAAGACTGCCCCTGCTACATGAGTGCAAGTTGGGCTCAAAATGGAATGCTGCTGTGCCTGCTCGCAGAACCAATGTAACATGGGGTGAAGGCACGGTCGCAGAGAGTGCTATTCGGGAGCGTTCGTTAGGTAAAGACAGATTTTGCGATAAAAAGGTAGCTCATTGGAAATAAGGGTAGAGATGGCTAGTGGAACAGGGATGGAGAAGAAACCATGTAAAGACATATTCACATATTGCACCCGCAAATGCGTCGTTCATCGGAACTTGCTGAATTGAACTGTGGGAACCTCTTAGGAAATTAGGGCACAAGGAAGAATTTCAGAGAATTTTACACAGGTATGAAGTACTCTTCGAGTAGATTCCAACAGTCTTTACCGCTTCTCATCACATTAATTTTGAAGGAAGTTATGGGCCTTTGAAGACTGCATAGTCGCGGTCCAGGAAAATGGCTTGAAAAAAATCAAGGGAAAAAAGGAACAACGGGACTATTTTTTGAGCGAGTGATTTTTAAAAAGTTTTAGCACTTATTCGAAAGCTCTAATCTTCTAGTTTCTAATTAGCCTTAGACATCTGCAAAAAGTTGATATGAAGAAAGTTATGAACGTTTGAATGTCGAAAACTCGCGCCTTCTCAAAAAATCGGACCACAAACCCCCAAAAACGGAACAACGGGACTATTTTTTGAGAGAGTGATCGCTGGAAAAATCAGGTGCTTGTTTGAAAGCGCTAATAGCCTTAGACATCTGCAAAAAGTTGATATGAAGAAAGTTATGAATGTTTGAATGTCGAAAACTCGCGTGTGCACAAAAAACGGAACAACGGGACGATTTTTTGAAATATTGAACATCCGCAACATTTCAAATACTTTTCAGGAAGAAAACTATTTGAATTTTTAAAATTTTGGTGTCCGGTTCCATGAGACCGCTTCTGAAAGAAATAACCTTCTGAATGGAGGGGTTTGGATAGCAACGTAATTGCTACAAGGTTTAGTAATTCAGACTATAAAATCCTACTATATATAAGCGGCTAGCGTGTGTCTGTTGGTGTGTGTGTGTGTTTGACCGGAAATTCATAGCTCGAGTCACAGTAACGATAGCGCAGTGGTTCTTACATATGTTATAGGGGGTGGGATGGGGACACAAGTGGTACGTGATAGGAACTGATAACGACTGATAATAGCTGATAAGAGGGGCTAGAAAGCGAGCATCGCCAATTTCGTTTTGTCGTTCATATTGGTACTAGAGCGTCTATACTTACAAGTGTTATGTGGGGCGGTCCCGGGACATTGGTGGTACATGATTGGAAGCGATAGCAACTGATAAGGGCTGATAAGATGCGCCAGAACGCAAAAGTCGTCGATTCCGTTGCCTGGCTCGCGTTGACACCAGAGCAACCATACTTACAAGTGTTATGTGGGGTGGGACGGGGACATTGTTGGTGGGTGCCAGAAACTGATAACGATTGATAAGGGCTGATAAGGCGCGCCAGAACGCAAAAGTCGTCGATTCCGTTACCTGGCTCGCGTTGACACCAGAGCAACCATACTTACAAGTGTTATGTGGGGTGGGACGGGGACATTGTTGGTGGGTGATTGAAACTGATAACAACTGATAAGGGCTGATAAGGCGCGTCAGAACGCAAAAGTCGTCAATTCCGTTACGCAGCGTTGACACTTGAGCGTTCCTACCTACAAATTGTATGCTTACTTAATAGAATTCATTCGACTGCATAAACCTAAACAAGTCTTCAGCAAATGATAAGCTTTCATTTCTGATCACTATCAAGAAAGCCCAAACTCATTAAACCGCTAATCCTTTCGGGGTTCTAAATAATGGTGAATGTAAATAAATGATAAGCCTTAGCTCCTCACTTATGTAAATAGGCATATTTCATTTTCATTTTGAGACTGACAGCAAATCCTATTCACCGCTAAATTATCTTAATTCAAGAAGAATGCTGGATGTTTACAGTTGTGATCAATATACCAGTTCAGCTCCAGACGTTATCACGCGTATTCTCGATGAGCTTCAGCGAAACTGGGAAAGGTCTAACACATTCAATAGTGAGATGGTTAATGGAGTATCTCATGCTGATATTCCATGGGTCCTCCAGTTTCGCTAAAGCCTGCCGTGTGATGCGCGCGATAGCGGGCGAAGCAAAACTGGTAAAAAAAATTGAGAGATCGAAAAAAACTTGGTAGGTTTCTGAAAGTAGAAATCTTTGTGATTATTAATGATGTATTGGTTTACGCAAAAATTTGGAAATTCCTTCTATTTAATGAATAAAACTTCATGTTGCCTCGATTCCCTCCTCTGAGCGAGACAGAGCGCGCGGATTGACCACGGTCACAAGCCGGTTTTAACAGTCCGATGAGTGACCGCTACCGTAATCCACGTTGGCACTGGAGCGCGCAGCTACACTACTGCTGTGTACCCACACGTTTCAGCACCAACGTGAGAGGGTATAATGCCTCGCTGGCGAGTGCACAATACCCCCAACCACCACAGCCGCCCTTGGGCGACTATCCAAAAATACACGCAGCGCTCGCCTCGCCGCTTGCGCGGCGAGGCAAGCGGCTGGGCAAGGGAGGTTAGCCCCGGGGTGCCGCCCAACTACTTGCCGGCAAGTTCGACCGACTGCCACTGTGTCTGTGCCATACTCCTCCTATATACCAGCACTTACGCTCCGTACAAGAGCCAGGTTCTATCACGCCCATTCTGTCGCCGTGGAGTGCGCGGAAAAACGACAAAAGGGCACGTCGAATTCTAATCGATGACACGTGACGTTGCGCGCCAACCAGTCACGTGTTACGGTTGCGGTCACTCACCGGACTTTGTAATCTCACTAATACCACGGTCCACCACTTCTCCACGTCCATGACTGCCCATACATCAATGATGAGCATTAAAGGAAGGATTTTACGATTAGAATGGAGGTCGAGGAAGAAGTAATTCACCTAGTTGAGGGACCCACGGACCTCCTGAGGGTGCGAACTGATGCGCAATTCGCATCGAAAAATTTGACCTCGGCGACCTATTATGCCTCAAAGTTGGCGGGTCTGGCGATCTCCGCCCACCGACCAGCTGATCACTCGCCGCAGTCTATACGTGGCGAGTGATTAGATAGCAGAGAGAGCGTAGTGTTGAAGAGGGCACAGCGATGAGAGTCGCATCAATGCTCAAATCAACGGGCAAGGAAGGGGTCCCATTTCTCGGGTTCTGGGCCGTTTCTCATGGTTCTTCCTTCTTTCGTGTACCACTCACCATCCCTAGGTTAATTTGAAATGGGTTGCTTTTTCAGCGTGAATTCGTCCTTTAAGTGTGAAAGGCGTAATTAAAGGAAGTGGTCACGATAATTCTTCATAGGGAACGATAAGGAAAGCTGTGTATGGAGTGGATAGGGGTCCTGCCCAATGTTAGAACACGTGAAGTTTCAGTGGCAGTGGCGCCTTATCAACGGAGTGATAAGGCGCCGAAATCCACTTCCGTTCAGCAAAAACCAAGACTTATCGATGTGGAAAGGGGTGCGATAAGAGCGTACCGTTATCGTTATCGTCCCGTTTTCATTCTGGAGTGCACCTCTTATCAAGCAGCCGCACCTTCTTATCTCATCGTATCATATCTTCCATGGGCTTACACTCGTCCAACAATTACTGCCTCACACCTTATCGATTGATAACGCGAGGGTAGCAAATCCAGCGTGGAAGCCAGCGTGATCGCTTCCTTTAAAACGGGAGGGGAGGGGTCGTAAAGATACCCTCCGAAAAGAGGGTCGTAAAAATTTTGGAATTTGCGCAACGCAGGGTTGACCCTGCCCTCCCTCCTCCGCTGGCCACATTTCTCTAGAATGTTCCTAGGTGTGCACATCTGAGGAAGAAGAATGTCTCTCCGGTTCACTCACTGCAAGGCGGAGGGCTGAACCTAAAAAGAGTGCAGTTTATCAATTAAGCCGTAGATGGTTACCGAAAACTGGTGCACACCAATGCAAGTGTCATTCGTGATGAAAAGTTGAATCAGTCTAGCTGCCTGGGTGTTCAGTCTCTCGATTTTTGCTCCTAACAAGGTCATATAATCCACAGAGCAAGTTTCACTTCCCCTCTCTTCTCGATGAGAAGCTACTGCAACACCTTCAGGAGTTGGCCTCTCTTCTTAGCACCGCTCCGCACAAATCCGACACCATCAAAGACTTCTCGGCAGTCTCACTCATTGAAGTCATCTAGATTGACATGTAAGCCTGTGCAAGATTCGATCATACGTGATCAACGGCGGCCGCGTGTGGAAAGCGCCACGCGTTGCCACACCACTTCCCACCTCAAGGGATATCATTTGGAAATTTAGTTTTGAAAAAAAAACTGATGATAGAACTTATCTTATCATACGCTATATAAAAGAAACTCCGCGGTGAGAGGACTCATTTCACCGACTCTCATCGGTACGTCAGCTCAAGGTACTAATATGCTATCAATGCTGCTAGTCCTCAATGTTCGCGATAAAGTACCTGCACATTCGTAAGTCTGCTCCACACTTTTCCTGAAACGGGAGGGATCTCGAGAGCGCTGCTGTTGGACGCAGTCTTCGATCCGAGTGGACAGACGCCGTGTGACATGGTGAGATCTGGGTAGTTGTCTCACTTTTGGATGGGTGGTCCTATCCGCTCATAAAGTCGACATGATCAACAATAGCAGTTCAGCCGACACTTCTGACGTCTCAACCAATGCTCAGAATTGAGTCTGTAGCGGCAATCTTAGGCCGATGTCATAGTTTGCGAATCGAGCGATTCGCTAGCGAATCGCTGGATCCGAGCGTTGCGCCAGCGAATCGAACTTTGCACCAGCGAGTCGAACGATGTACCAGCGAGTCGAACTATGGTACCAGCGACTCAATAGTGGCGGGACCCAACGTTTAAAGGAAGCCCGCCACTTTCAAACAGTGTCCACTGTCAAGTCCCGCCACTTTCAAACAGCGTCCACTGTCACGTGACACTGTTTGAAAGTGGCGGGCTTCCTTTGAACGTTGGGTCCCGCCACTATTGAGTCGCTGGTACCTAGTTCGACTCGCTGGTGCAACGTTCGATTCGCTGGCGCAACGCTCGGATCCAGCGATTCGCTAGCGAATCGCTCGATTCGCAAACTATGACATCGGCCTGGGGAAGTGAACTAGAAAGTGCCTTAGAACCAATACAGCGATGCCATTATTTCAGCTAGTGATTTTCGTGGCTGTAGGAATCCCAAAACAACCCGGATTCAGACGAGTGGTAGGGTGTTGATGTGAAATTAAGTTCAAGGTTACGCCCTGCGTAAACTTGTCGGTATTTGCGTCATTTCCACACCACGTCTATCTTATCGCGATCAGGACTAGGAATGATAGCTCATCATGGAAGTTCGAGTGAAGCAGTCAGACCGCGTTGATATTTCGTGAATCAGGAGAGTACGCGACAGTAAAAGATGTATGTATTGACTAGGATCTTAATATATCAGTAGAATAGGATAGCAGAAGAGTATATATATCAGTCTGGTAGGAAGATAGATGAGAATCGATTGAAATCGTAATAACTTCGTATAGCATACGATCGTATGGAAAAGCGAGATAGTCCGCTGAGGTGAAAGATATAACGTATTGATCGACTCGCCTGAAGTTGCCTAAGGTCGCGTTCATAGTTCGCGACTCGGGAGATTGGGATATTAGGGAATGGATATTAGGATAGTAGTAGAGTAGGAGATAGCGCTGACAAGACTGATACGTATCGAGCGAGCGATTACTGCTGCCACTGGCATTACTCCCCTCGCCTAAGCTTGGTCCTAGCTCGCAGAGCTTGAAGAAATGTGAATTGGAGAATACATGTTATTAGTAAAAATGGAGATGGTTCATTCCGCCTCTGATCATACGAACCCATTGTGACGATCATTCCCTGAGGCATATTCAGCGATTGTGAATCACTACTGCGTTGTGTGGTCTATAGTGAGTCATTAATAGAAAGTACAGAGTAAAATTAGTAGGCATAATATTCCAGTTGTGATATGAAAGGATAGCAATGTACAAGGATGTGCAAGGCCCTGACCGGCTAATCAAGACCACGTCACACTTATATGTCTAGAGTCGGAAAGGAATCAGTGATAAACTAGATGTCCCCCGAAGCAGGGTCAACCCTATGTTGCTACAAGTAGCAACGGGGGGTCGTCGTATTTTGATGAGTTTGTAGGGGGGGGGTCGTACTTGCTTCGATTGTAAGTACTTGCTTCGATTGTAAGAAGTTGCATGAGATGAGTGAGGAGTGGCGCGGGAGAAAATTTGCCGTTTCAGCGCGCGTATATATACCCCCCCCGCTCGACGGCATTTTTGGGAAAAAAGTGGGCGGAGTTTGGTGGGTTGAGTGATACCAGAATGAAATACTATAGCGAGGAATATGGTGGTCGAGGGTCGAGAAAGGGGGTCGTACCAAATCCACCTTTGGGGAGGGGGGTCGTAAAAATTTTTCGAAAAGTAGCAACGATAGGACCGACCCTGCCCGAAAGGTGGCGCAGCACGCCCCGCCCGAGTTCCGTGTCGCAGCTAGCTACCGAATGAAACGGCCTCGGTCAAGAAGCTAGTTCAAAATTGGGACTCTGAGCATGGGATTGCTAACTGAGAAGTCCCGAGAGGTTGCTGATCTGACGACGCGCGGGAACGTACATGACCTATTCCTTCAGGAGATACGATGGTGCTATAGCTAGAAAAATCGGTGAAGATGTCAAACTCTACTACAATGGTGAATACACCAAGTGGAACGGTGTGATCATAGCCGTAGCGGAGTCGCTCAAGGACTATGTTTTCGCTGTGATCAGGACCAGCGATCGGATTATGGCTGTGACGATAGACACGAAGGTACGCACCGCAAGCCGAATGCCCCGAAAATATCAAGG